CCAATATTGGCAGGACAATCATCAAATTTGTGTATGTCAATAAATTCCTCTTGTGGGGACGGCTGGCTTGCTCATTCCAGACTGGGGTAGAGTCCGTACACGCACGCACGTGCACGCAAACATGAGGGTTTGCGTGCGCGTACAGGGCATTGCGGCCGAGTGGACAGCGCTCTGGGGCCACATACAACCCCCCCCCCACACACAACCCCCCCCCACACACAACCCCCCCACACACAACCCCCCCCCCACACACACACACACAAACACAACACAACAGCCCCCGAGACATACAATCCCCCCAACTCACTCACACACACACACACACACACACACACACACACACACACACACACACACACACACACACACACACACACACACACACACTCACACACTCCAGTAGCACAAAAAGAATTTACTATCAATACTCTGTGATATAAATAACTTGTAAGCGTAATCCACTTAACGATATCCACTAGCAAGATGGATATCGAACCCCACCATGCGTGCTCGCTAGAGAATTCCGACGATTTAGGACATTCACGAAACCATTTATCGTAATTCGTTTTATCGCTTAAATCACACAATTTTCCGGCAAGATTTGCGACTAGGCTACATGACCTTTATACCGTATCTTGCGCGCAGTACGGAGGGGTTCGTGTGTGGATCTGCGCATTTCGCATTATTGGTCCGGATTTTCGTTTGCCAGTCTTGAACGTGTCTCGGGCGGACTGCATTGTTTGGGTTCCTGGTTTTGTAAACCTAGTTGAGTCATTTATTCATAGGTTTAACGTTTACAAGATTTAAGGTAACGTTTACATGTACAAGGCTGACTTGAAGGTTTTTTATATATGAAGCAAAGTAATACTGTTGATCGAGCTTAAGACTAAGCTTATCGTGATGTAATTTAAGCTTAATATGGTTTGCTATCGAGCTTAATAGATACTATCAACGATCGTTCTTTGTATACATATGGGAGAACTTTTCAAACATGGCATCGAGCATTAAATATGCAATTCTGGTGTTTGATGCAATAACCAAGCTTTTATACATGATATCGATCTCTAAACTTAAATATTTAGTTTGTCTCTTTTGTATAGGACGATGAGAAAACTAGAATAACCTCCCCTGCAAACTAACAAAATCACCATTTTCTCTGGTACCCAAAAAGCCCGTTTTCTGTGTTGGACCAAAGTGGACGCTATTGATTATAGAGAGCAATGGTGGAACATTCACTTGCTTTTTAAATTGCAAAATCACCCTTTCTGATAACGGCCCTCTCCCTCGTAAAGCCAAAAACCCCATTATTTGGAACGTTGGGGAAAGGCGAGGGAAGGAGAGATGGAGGAAGAAAAATAGTGTACAAAGCATTAGGCTATCTCCAAAATCAAAGAGAATGCGGAAGTCAGTGGAAAATTATTTGAAACAATTATTCTGTTAATATAAAATTTCATAATAAAAACAATATTTGGTTTTCCAATAATTATATAAAAAATTAATTTGCTGTGTAATCAGATTATTCGAAGCTGTTCTGGTAATCCTTTTTTAAAGGCGAAATTGGTTTAAATTGGTACTTGAATCGTCAAGTACCCCCCCCCCCCCCCACTTTCCCGCCATTCTACCACTGTATATATATTGGAATTGCTTAATTATATTGACACAGCTCTGGATTGCTCTTTGTGAATGGCGTGTGGGCTCGTGGGTTGAAAAATATATATGGGCACCACCAGATGACGTCACGGGCGCAGTATGCATTAATTTTATCGAACCGAGTGTGTGTGTGCGTGTGCTTAAAAGGCGAGCTTAAGCTCCTGGGCCGGGGTTCGTGAAGCATTTACGTGCTCGAAATGTACACGAAACGTGTACATCTCTCTTTGATCAATGCAGCCTAGTCTCGGTTTATTAAACAGGTTTAGGAGCTTCACAACTCGAGGTTATTATTAGACAACCTCTACGCAGCCCGTAAACTGTTTAGTAATTGCTAACTAATATAGGATTGAGGAAAGATACACAGGTTTCGTTTAGTGGACACGTATATGGTTGATGAATACTGACCCCGGGAGCCGCTTTCTAGTCACCGGACACCAATTACAATGGCTCTTTGACGCTCTTGTTTCTGCATAAACCTACTCTTGAGACTATGTACGGAGTTATGTAAAACCACTTCTTCTGAAGATGTATCAGTATACGAAAGTACTTAAGGAAAATTCCTGTTTCATTTTTCCTCCGTGGTCTGACACTGTCACATTTTTAATCTCGTGTTTATTTTTCGTGATTTACACACACACATGGTGGTCTGGTCCCCCATGTGGAGTTTTCAGTTACACACGTGTAATATATATATATATATATATATATATATATATATATATATATATATATATATATATATATATATATATATATATATATATACAAAAAGTATAGGGGTGGTAGGAGAAGAAAATGTCAACGTGTTCAGGGAGGATCCACAAGATCTTCTGTGAGTACTCTATATTTTCTTCTCTGATGCTATGGGTCCCTACAATTGCACCAAATGTGGTACCTCTTTTAGGTTGATATATATATATATATATATATATATATATATATATATATATATATATATATATATATATATATATATATATATATTATATACATTGGCCTAATATGCAAAGCCCAATTTGTCTAGCAAGCAGAGTGATTTTCGGTAATTTCAAATATTTATTTACAAATTTGTTCATTCAATTAATATTAAAAACATAAATTACTGACTCAGGTCAGGGAAGGTTAGGTTAGGCTTGACCAAATTTCTGTGTTAAGTTTTAACTCAAAAAACAAATTTAATTATATATAATGTTATGGAAAGCTTAATCAATCCATAAGAAAAATGTGTTTAAAAATTTAATATTTCAGGTAAATTCGGCTTGTTAGACAACTTGGCCTATTAGGTACAACACATATATGTGCTTATATATGTTCACACATACGTCCATACATGTTTTTATATATGTGCTCACGATTTCAAGTGTGCATACACATGTATACATGATTACATAACTATGTAAGAGCGCCTTCGTATGGACCAATTAAATCACCTGCTGTTTCTCCATTCTCATCTTCTTATACTTGCATACATACATAGGCATCTATGCATACTTATATACATGCTTTCATACATGTCAGTGGCGAGGCTGTGTGGGTGACCGCCTATGTGATCTGGTCACCTATGTGGTCTGGTCATCCATGTGGTGTGGTCACCCATGTGGTCTAGTCACCCATGTGGTCTAGTCACCCATGTGGTCTAGTCACCCATGTGGTCTAGTCACCCATGTGGTCTAGTCACCCATGTGGTCTGGTCACCCATGTGGTCTAGTCACCCATGTGGTCTGGTCACCCATGTGGTCCGGTGAAACTGAACAGTTTAACCTGACTTACCAGGTAATGGTGTATTATCCACTGTGTCGTGGCCCTATTTTCCAATACATGGATACATGAATGTATTATGTATTAACAAACATAAAATACAAAACACAAAAAAATCTAATATATGACATATTAAAGAACTGTTGTATTTATTCCAGTAGATACTAATTCAATAGATGGTAGTCAGGTTAGTGTGGCGGCGATAACGAGCGTATAATTATATTAGTCTAGCCTAAATGGCTAAATTGTAAAGAAAACGGGACTCGGCTCACCGCGCGACGACGCCAACTTCTAGGCGCGAAAAGAAATCAAATCAGCTTCAGCATTTGCTTAAATAAAATTGACCAAATGAACTTATACACCTTTTTATGTTATTAAATTATGTATCATGCTTCAGGTTATCAGTACGCATCGATATCTTATTTTTCAATAAAGAATAGAGATGCGTGACTATGGGCCCTCGTGCGGTGTGGCCCGGGGGTGTAGGAAGGGGGTTGACGGACTACCGCGAGTGAATGTATTTTGTGCCCCAAAAAGTGATATCATGGCGTATTTAGATTACTTCTACAAGATCTTCAACTTGGCTGTAATGAGGATCGAACTGGAAGAAGAATGGGAAGAGCTGGACCGAGAGATAAAGGTAAGATAACCAGAGATAATGTGTCCGCCGACACGGCTCAAGAGCAACACAGACCTAACCACCACAAGTTACCCCTATTACTGATAAAACACTTGTAATTGAAATATCATCTACCAATAACGTCTACTCTCATCTACTCGACGGTTTTAAATGAATATTAGTAGAGATTTATGGTACGACCAGACCACACACTAGAAGGTGAAGGGACGACGTTATTGTACTTTAGCCACGTTATTGTGACTCATCGCCTGCTCATACAAATAATACATATACAAATATTTATTCAGTTAAGTGCATACATACAAGGTGCAAGAGGGAGCCGGTCGGCCGAGCGGACAGCCCTCTGGACTTGTGATCCTGTGGTCCTGGGTTCGATCCCGGGCGCCGGCGAGTAACAATGGGCAGAGTTTCTTTCACCCTATGCCCCTGTTACCTAGCAGTAAAATAGGTACCTGGGTGTTAGTCAGCTGTCACGGGCTGCTTCCTGGGCGTGGAGGCCTGGTCGAGGACCGGGCCGCGGGGACACTAAAAAGCCCCGAAATCATCTCAAGATAACCTCAAGATACTCCATATATGTCCTTGTTCAAGCTCAGCTAGTAGCTGATCAACCAGGCTGTGATGCATACATCAGGCTGTCAGCAGCCGCCTCCAACAGCCTGGTTAACCGGTCCAGCAACCAGGAGGCCTGGTCGACGACCGGGCCGCGGGGTCGCTAAGCCCCGGAAAGCACCTCAAGGTAACCTCAAGGTATGTTTATTGAGGCAAGAAAGTACATCCCAAAGGGATAGAGTAGCTTAGGCTAGTTCTATCCCCCTTAATGGGATAGAACTCTTGTTGCTCTCTAATCTAAGAGTGCATTTATGTGTAATTCTGTCAAACGTCGGAGAATTAAAATGGTTTTCTAATGTAAATAATAATAATGGGGATAATTGGAATAGTAGTAAGAGTAGTATCAACAGTAGTAGCCTGTACCTTTGTGTTCCCTGTAGCCTGTACCTTTGTGTTCCCTGTAGCCTGTACCGTTGTGTTCCCTGTAGCCTGTACCTTTGTGTTCCCAGTAGCCTGTACCTTTGTGTTCCCTGTAGCCTGTACCTTTGTGTTCCCAGTAGCCTGTACCTTTGTGTTCCCTGTAGCCTGTACCTTTGTGTTCCCTGTAGCCTGTACCTTTGTGTTCCCTGTAGCCTGTACCTTTGTGTTTCCAGTAGCCTGTACCTTTGTGTTTCCAGTAGCCTGCACATTTGTGTTCCCTGTAGCCTGTACCTTTGTGTTTCCAGTAGCCTGCACCTTTGTGTTCCCAGTAGCCTGCACCTTTGTGTTCCCAGCAGCCTGTACCTTTGTGTCCCCTGTAGCCTGTACCTTTGTGTTCCCTGTAGCCTGTACCTTTGTGTTTCCAGTAGCCTGTACCTTTGTGTTCCCAGTAGCCTGCACCTTTGTGTTCCCAGTAGCCTGTACCTTTGTGTTCCCTGTAGCCTGTACCTTTGTGTTCCCTGTAGCCTGTACCTTTGTGTTCCCAGTAGCCTGTACCTCTGTGTTCCCAGTAGCCTGCACCTTTGTGTTCCCTGTAGCCTGTACCTTTGTGTTCCCTGTAGCCTGTACCTTTGTGTTCCCAGTAGCCTGTACCTTTGTGTTCCCAGTAGCCTGTACCTTTGTGTTCCCAGTAGCCTGCACCTTTGTGTTCCCTGTAGCCTGTACCTTTGTGTTCCCAGCAGCCTGCACCTTTGTGTTCCCAGTAGCCTGCACCTTTGTGTTCCCAGTAGCTTGTACCTTTGTGTTCCCAGCAGCCTGTACCTTTGTGTTCCCAGCAGCCTGTACCTTTGTGTTCCCAGCAGCCTGCACCTTTGTGTTCCCAGTAGCCTGTACCTTTGTGTTCCCAGCAGCCTGTACCTTTGTGTTCCCAGTAGCCTGCACATTTGTGTTCCCAGTAGCCTGCACCTTTGTGTTCCCAGCAACCTGCACCTTTGTGTTCCCAGCAGCCTGCACCTTTGTGTTCCCAGTAGCCTGCACATTTGTGTTCCCAGTAGCCTGCACCTTTGTGCTCCCAGCAGCCTGCACCCTTTGTGTTCCCAGTAGCCTGTACCTTTGTGTTCCCAGTAGCCTGCACCTTTGTTCCCAGTAGTAATTGAAACCTTTTTCAATTAGTAATAATTCCCAGTAATAATAAAGTTCCCAGTAATAATTGAACCTTTGTGTTCCCAACAGCCTGCACCTTTGTGTTCCCAACAGCCTGCACCTTTGTGTTCCCAACAGCCTGCACCTTTGTGTTCCCAACAGCCTGCACCTTTGTGTTCCCAGCAGCCTGCACATGTGGGCTCTCAGTACACTGAGTACATGCTCAAAAAAGTACACTGTACTTCAGTACTTGGGAGAGTACACTGTACTTCAGTACTTGGGAGAGTACACTGTACTTCAGTACTTGGGAGAGTACACTGTACTTCAGTACTTGGGAGAGTACACTGTACTTCAGTACTTGGGAGAGTACACTGTACTTCAGTACTTGGGAGAGTACACTGTACTTCAGTACTTGGGAGAGTACACTGTACTTCAGTACTTGGGAGAGTACACTGTACTTCAGTACTTGGGAGAGTACACTGTACTTCAGTACTTGGGAGAGTACACTGTACTTCAGTACTGGGGAAAGTACACAGTTTCCTCGGGGATAAAGATTTTTTGAGTGTGGATTTTACTTTGTTATTCACAACGTTTTCATGTGTTGTACTCTAGACCAAGTTGCTGGATTGTGTTGTGTACTAGTGGGGAAACAGGAGAAGAATGTGAAGGGAATATTGTTGAAGGTAGACAAGGGGAAGGAAGACTGCCAGGCTGAAGCAAATGTTTTTGTTCTAATTCAAATTTTAGACTCTGTTTTGCCAATATTTATATTTCATTCGGTACCTTTGGCCAGTCTCTCTTCCTCCTATTATAAGCTTGTCATGCTGTAAGTTATGCGTTAGTTCACTTCCCGCCAAATACACACCGAAACTACGACGTTGGTACAACGTTCGAACAAGTTATAACCCCTCCTAACCAGTTATAACAACCAATATAGCAAGTTGTAACAACGTTCTAATACGTCATAAACACGTTAAGCCAAGATGTAACAACTTTATTACAAGTTGTAACAAGCGGAAATTAGAGACAGTTATGGTATGTGTTTCCAGGGTTAGCTTTTCTAATGCTAAATTGAAACTAAAATGCTTCATGTCTTAGAGACGTAATGCAAAAATAAAGAAGCAACGTGCTGGCATAAATATTTTGGTCTGGTCCGCCCTAGTGGTGAATAAAGAAAGATGGCCGATATAGATTCCCCCCCCCCCCCCCCCGGAGCGGCCGGGAGGTAAGCGGGTGGTTGGATAAGAGCGGGTAGGCAAAAAGACTCCAGGGGGCCAGATTCACGAAGCAGTTACGCAAGCACTTACGAACCTGTACATCATTTCTCAATCTTTGGCGGGTTTGTTTACAATTATTAAACAGTTAATGAGCTCCGAAGCACCAGGAGGCTGTTTATAACAATAACAACAGTTGATTGGAAAGTTTTTATGCTTGTAATCTGTTTAATATATGTAACCAAAGCCGTCAAAGATTGAGGAAAGATGTACACGTTCGTAAATACCTGCGTAATTGCTTCGTGAATCTGGCCCCTCAGGCAGGCAGACAGACAGAACAGGAGGAAGGCAGGTAAATAGGAAAGCAGGATAGCCGGCAAGTAAGCAGTGTGTGTGAGAAAGTCAGGATATAACATGAACAGCACAAGAGAAGAGGTAGGTGCTATAGCTACATTCAACCAGAATAATAATGATTAATTTTGTCGTGGACAGGCAGCCTGTTTATATATGCCTATATATGTGTATATATAGGCATTGTATGTACTAGCTCTATCTATATATTGATCCATTAATGTAACATCACTTGTATGTATGTACCTTACCTGAATAAACATATTTATTTATTTATGTACGTTAGGCTTATGTCTAAGTCCTCCCCCCCCCCTTGAAGGTCAAACTATTGACCCTCCCCAGAATACAACCCCCGCAACAAGCTTACTAACTACCGGTAACTATTAGTACCTGTTTAATCCTAGGTGAACAGGAGTTTTAGGTGATAGGAAACGTGTCTAAGTATGGGATATGGCCAGTGGGTGGATGGTCTCTTTTTGTATATATTCTCTCTGACCTATTTGCTCTCATTTCTTCTTTGATGGTTCCCTCTCCAAAGAAGATGGGAAATTGACTGCTTATAATGATATATATTGAGCTTATGGTTCAGGTTGAAAATGAATCTGTATGAATGCATATATAGTAATGCCTTAATGTATACAAGAGAAATACACTTCAGTATACCATACAATTTTACAGAAAACTGAAACCATTCTTGAGGCTCCATTTTCTATGGTGAACCTCCAGTAGAGTATGGACCTGCCCAGCGCGTTCTTGGAGAGCGGACCTTATCCAAGAACGCGTAGCTCTTTTAGGATTATTCCTAGCGTCATTCTGGATTATTATTATTATTATTATTATATAATATTATTATTCCTTAGGATTATTCCTAGCGTCATCCTGGATAATGAAGCCCAACCCAACCCTAGGTATTGTGGATAGGGATATATACGCTTTGCGTAATAGTGTCTTTAGGCATTGTATGTACTAGCTCTACCTATAAGTCAACCAATCCTTGTAAGAATTTATTGTATGTATGTACCTTACCTAAATAAAATTGTATTGTATTGTATTGTATACCTACGGGTACATCATAGCACATGAAGACGTAATTGATCTGTAAAACCGTATCAAATATATTCACAACCCTTAGGGTAGGTTTAACCTCATTATTGAGACACTAATCGTAATATTCTTGAGAAAGTGTTGCGCGTTCTCGGATTCTCTTTATTCTTCATATTGGCGCTTTTAGGAGCTGCTGATGTTGATGTTTGTAGGATGTGATGATGTTGATGTTTGTAGGATGTGATGATGTTGATGTTTGTAGGATGTGATGATGTTGATGTTTGTAGGATGTGATGATGTTGATGTTTGTAGGATGTGATGATGTTGATGTTTGTAGGATGTGATGATGTTGATGTTTCTAGGATGTGATGATGTTGATGTCTCCAGGATTTGATGATGCAAATCCCTGTCTATTATTGCCCGAAACGCTTTGCGTAAGAGTGGCTTTAGGCATTGATCAGTCCAGCAACCAGGAGGCCTGGTCGACGACCGGGCCGCGGGGACGCTAAGCCCCGGAAGCACCTCAAGGTAACCTCAAGGTAAGGTTGTATATACTAGCTCTATCTATAAATCCATCAATGTTTGTATCTCACCTTGTATATATGTACTTTACCTGAATAAACATTTGATTTGATTAGTTGAACTATCCACCCTCGATCACCGACGGTATCTGGCATCTTTAACTGTTAATCATTGATAAAATAACATCTTAGCAATTTTTAGTTTGCTATTTCCGTGGCGAAGTGGAAATAAATTCGCCCGGCGTTTCGCGAGCGCTTTGGCCTGGGTTCGTATCCTGATCGGAAGCCAATCCTTAACTATAGCTTCTGTTCACCCAACAGTGAATGGGTACCTGGTTGTTAAACGATTTGGCGGGTCGTATTCCGGGGAACAATTAGGATTAATGACCTGCCTGAAAGGCTCCACGTGCTGGTGGCTGAACAAGAATGTAAAAACATTTGTATATATATATAAATAAAAAATAAAATGTTAGATATGCGGTGACAATTGAATCTTTCTTTATTATGCACCCCATACACATCCCGTGGGCGATGGTTGAAAGGGTTACGGAGGCACATACACATAATTTAGGGAGCCGGTCGGCCGAGCGGACAGCAGGCTGGACTTGTGATCCTGTGGTCCTGGGTTCGATCCCAGGCGCCGGCGAGAAATAATGGGCAGAGTTTCTTTCACCCTATGCCCCTGTTACCTAGCAGTAAAATAGGTACCTGGGTGTTAGTCAGCTGTCACGGGCTGCTTCCTCGGGGTGGAGGGTTGGTCGAGGACCGGGCCGCGGGGACACTAAAGCCCCGAAATCATCTCAAGATAACCTCAAGATAACTACAGAGGGTTACAGAGGCACATAATGGGTTCAGGAACTGAACCACGCAAAGTATACGAGTAGTTCTGCTGACAGAGTTTACATTTAGTCAAGTGTACATCTGCAGATGTTACATACTCCCAGAGGTACTTGTAGCCGAGCCTAAGCCTAGCAGTGGTAACATCTAGAAGTGTGACAAGCTGTTTTTATTTTTATTTATTTTATTATTTTCTACCACAGACGTGGCCAGACATTTACAATGCTAAACAGCATATATACATTTTCTTCTGACCTCGATGGACAGGGTTAGAGATGTGTTAAACATATAGTTCAAGGCTTTATTGAACAGTGACAAGCTGTGTAAGGCTCTTCTATACTCGTTTTCTGAACCGTTTTCTTTCATTGTGTGATCATATAGGTAGAGAGAATCGTTTGAGGGTTAACTATGTCAAACAGAAATGTTTCCTGGCCGTCCACTTGAATGTTATTATTTGATTACATTGTTATGTTCTAAAATCATTTTTACCTGGATATACATTTAGACAATTTTATACTATTTAAACAAATAATCTCCTCGTCTAAAGTAATAGATATAATCCGTACGAGTTTTAATAAATAATTATTAAGTATTGGCAAAAATACCTGTAACTCCTCGATAGAATTTAGTATATTGGAAGTCTAGTTACGGGCTATTTATCTCCGTGCCCGTAACTGATTAACATCAGGAAGAAAGAGACGTTTGGGCATGTTTACTTTCATCCTATACATTTGTTTACCTTGCATTTACACAAGTACCCACCCGGAAATTAGGCAACTGTTGTGGGTAGTATCCTGGGTAAGTAGTGTAGTTAGCGTAGGCCGTGGGGACCTCGATAGGCCCAAGTACAGGCTTCCTGTCCCCAACAACTAGAATTAATTTATTATAGATTATATGACCCCCGCCCCCACTCTCTCTCTCTCTCTCTCTCTCTCTCTCTCTCTCTCTCTCTCTCTCTCTCTCTCTCTCTCTCTCTCTCTCTCTCTCTCTCTCTCTCTCTCTCTCTCTCTCTCTCTCAC